AATCAGGTGTGTTGGAGCAGGGAAATATGTAAAACATGTAGGGCTGCGGCCCTCGAGGACCAGGATTGCCCACCCCTGCTTTAATCAATGAAAGTCTTTCTTTTTTTTCAGCTCCTACCTATTTGTGGAATGTGAGTGACAGGCATGGTGCTGATGACAAGTGTGTGTCCGGTCACGGGGTCCTGGGCCAACTGGGTGTGTGCTTGGTGGTGTAGGTGAGCGGGCTCTGTTGTTAGCCCTGAAAAAAAAAAAAAACAATCACATTTAAATCAGCTCCAGGGTTTTAACCACTTCACAAAAAAAAGTGAATTTCTCGTCAAACTGTGATCTTTATGAGAACCCCCRTCAGTGTCAGTCAATATTGAAATTCCTATTTTCTTATAGTTCATTTTGATAGGTTACTGTTGAAAAGAAAGCACATCCCTCCCAGCTCCTCACTAAATATAATCTCAACATTTGAATTGCAAAAGTTTTATTTATTTATGTATTAGTTCCACATTTTGACAAGATGTTCTGAAGAGAAAAACACAGCTCTTTCTGTACACTGTCATCCAAGTCAAGTTTTTTTTATAACCAGTGTATTTTTTGAAGGTAGGGGACATGTTTGGGAATTATTTTTTTTACATCAAACCTCATTCTATTCTTGAATTGTTTGTCACAGCCCCCCTGAGAGTATTTTCGATGCATTCCGTTTTATTGTTTTGTTTTTTCCTACACTAATATATGTGTGCAAATTTCCATGACACTGCATCGTGCAGACAGTACAATCAGCGTTGCCTATTACAAATTTGGATTATGCAAAGGAACATCACTCCTCAGCAGAGTTTCTAACTTTTTAGTTATTGTAAATATTCTGGAAAACTTTGCCTGGCGTTTATATATATTTTTTCCTCATGTAGTTCACTGCGTTTGCCCTCCGCCGCAGCCCTTTTCTTTGCTGGAGGTCACCCAATAAGTATGCTGAATTACAAGCACAAAGGCTGTCTGCTCTCACCTCCCAGCAGCATCTCGTGCAGCAGGTTGTCGATCTTGGCCAGGCCGCAGAGCTTAATGAACTGGAGCTGCTCAATCATCTGCCAGGTGATGCTCTGCAGGGTGGGCAACAGGAGTAAAAGCTCCCCAAAACGCCCCCTGGAGTCGTACTGACGGTCGTTAATATAGTCTTCCAGACTCATCTGAACCTGCAAACATCAAGAGTCCATCGCTGTGAGCAAATCGAGTTTGATGACATAATGTAAGGTGAAATAGGGGGAGGGGTTATCTTAAAACTGCTAATAATTGCTTAAAACTGCTAATAGTTATGATTCAAAAAAAGTTGTAGCCTGAAAATTGAATGTGCGACTCACCTGCAATCTCAGAGCTTTAATTTTTGAAGGGTCCCGTAAAGATTTTGCATCTGCAGACAGGAAAGCAAAGCATGGAGGAGATGGGCAAATAAAGGAAGGGAAGGATAGAGGACAGGATTGAAGGACAAGTCAGAGAAAAAAAAACAGATTAGGGATGGAATTGAGGATATGGCTGGAACTGATGGAATGATTATGCTCAAACTAGGGCATCAGCACAAAATGAGGGGATTTATGGAAAGAGCTGGAAAAAGGGGGAACTGGGATGACAGGATCAGGGCAGGGATGGTGGTCAAAATGTCAAGGAGACACGAGGGGATGGGTATCTGACGAGGAAGGAAGATTTAGACTAGATATAATTGTGGGTCTGCATGTAATTATTTAAATCAGAATTTTATTATTATTTTACTAATGTGTATTTTAATTGTAATCATAATAAATAACTGTCTGTTACACATGCTTCCTGAGTTAGACTTCCAAGCAATAATAAACTCTTATCT